CTCTTTGCTGGACTCCGAGAAATTCTTCACCATCCTCTCCTGTACCATAGCAGAACTTGGACATCCACCACTGATACCACTATTCTTGAGCATTATCTGGATATTGTACCTCTGTATCACTACTGAAACAAGCACATTGTAACAACTTAAAGTCTTCTATCACATGTTATTGCCCTTCTTCTAATAGACTATAAAGCTGCTTCTACAGCCTTAAAACAGACTGGTTTACAACTAGTGTATGGATGTCTATGATAGATATTATTACATAAGAAGTATACAAGATGTGTGACTGATAGAACACCAATTGCTCAAATTGAGGCCTAAGTATACTGAAGTCAACATGTAAAGTCCAAGTTGTGGCCCAAGTACCCCAAGTACCCCAAGTATATAGACTTGGGTCAAGTCCGTGTACTTGGGACCAAGTACATGGACTTGGGGTCAAGTACACGGACTTGGGGTCAAGTACACGGACTTGAGGCCAAGTACACGGACTTGAGGCCAAGTACACGGACTTGAGTCCAAGTACATGAACTTGGGCCCAAGTATGGGTCCAAGTCCGTGACGTTTTCCTGATGTAATGGGTCGTCGCTTCCGCCTCATTCGTTGGGACTGGTCAGGCGCCATTGTCACCAACGCCATCCACTACTACGAGAATCCTGAGCCACTATGCGACTTTCTCTGGCGCATCTCCTTTGTGAAGCACATCGCTCTCGGGATCGATCCTACAGCCACTCGAGTCTCTCCCGGTTCTGCCAATTTCCTGAAAATGACGGCCATTGCGGAGGATACTACTCGTGACCTCCCTTATCACCCCGGCTCTCTACCGCCTGGGTACAACCTTCCCGATGGCTCCCAGTTCAAGTACATTCGTGAGATGTTTGCAGAGTCTATCGGCAACCGCGACTGGCCGTGCTACAAGCTGGAAGTGATGTACAACGGAAAGATACATCACTTCCTCGTTGGCAAGCCATGCTTCCTAGCGAGAGGCCTTGCGGGTCGCGGCACTTGTGGTTACGTCGCTCTCGATATCGCCAATGACCGCCTCGTGTGGCTCAAAGACACTTGGCGTACGTCGTACCTATTCGCAGACCGGGAAGGAGACATTCTCCAGCGACTCAACGAAGCCGGTATCGATAACATCCCAACCCTCGTCTCCCACGGAGACGTCCCCCACCAGGTGACGATTGCGAGTAACTGGACAAATAGTCAAGGACTCGCTTCTGCCCATTCACCGCGCCGTCCTGCGTGGTCGTCTCAATCATCTCACGCTCTTGATTCCATGCCAACTCCGAACGCTAGGAAGGTAGAGACTACAACGAGGGTAGTGTCTCCATCGGCAAATAGCCCATGAGGGGCTCAGCCCTCCCTTCCCCCACCCACGTGACGCTTCCGTCCCCATTCCCAGCGTTGTTACGGGTCAAGTCAACGGTCATGACTTTTAGACGACGGATGACCGGTCACTGTGTGACCCGGTCATGACCGCCGGTCAAAAGTTAGCACGTGAGATCTCCGGCATGTCCGAGTGTGCGTCTGACGGCAGGCCATGGCTCTGGGATAGGCCAAACGCATCGTGGCCGCGAGGAGGTACAATAAGGGCTGATGAGACTATTGCATACTCATCCCTGTCCTTGAATTTAAATGACGTACTACCCCATAATACGCCATATCTGAGCTGCGAACCGACAAAGAGCTTGCCGACGGATAGATCAAAAATCAACTCATAGGGAACGGAACTCGACTTGGATATGAAGCCG